GTATATGATGCAACCAGAAAGTTTTGTCAATCCTAAAGGTGCTAACAAAATATGCAAGCTCCAGCGATCCATTTATAGACTGGTGCAAGCATCTCGGAGTTGGAATATACGCTTTGATAAGTTGATCAAAGCATATAGTTTTATACAGACTTGCGGTGAAGCCTGTATTTACAAGAAAGTGACTGGGAGCACTACAACATTTCTGATGAGTATATGTGAATGACATATTGTTGATCGGAGATAATGTAGAATTATTCTGCAAAGCATAAAGGAGTGTTTGAAAGGAGTTTTTCAAAGAAAGACCTCGGTGAAGCTGCTTACATATTGAGCATCAAGATCTATAGAGATAGATCAAGACGCTTGATAAGTTTTTCAATGAGTACATACCTTGACAATATTTTGAAGTAGTTCAAAATGGAACAGTCAAAGAAGGAGTTCTTGCCTGTGTTACAAGGTGTGAAGTGGAGTAAGACTCAAAGCCCGACCACGGCAGAAGATAGAAAGAGAATGAAAGTCATTCCCTATGCTTTGGCCATAGGTTCTATAAAATATGCCATGTTGTGTACCAGATCTATTGTATACTTTACACTATTTTTGGCAAGGGAGTACAATAGTGATTTAGGAGTAGATCACTGGACAGCGGTCAAAATTATCCTTAGTGGAATAAGGATATGTTTCTCGATTATGGAGGTGACAAAAGGTTCGTCGTAAAGGGTTACATCGATGCAAATTTTGACACTAATCCAGATGACTCTAAATCTCAATCTGGATACATATTGAAAGTGGGAGCAATTAGCTAGAGTAGCTCTGTGCAGAGCATTCTTGACATAGAAATTTGCAAAATACTTATGGATCTGAATGTGACAGACCCGTTGACTAAACTTCTCTCACAAGCAAAACATGATCACACCTTAGTACTCTTTGGGTGTTAATCACATAGCGATGTGAACTAGATTATTGAATCTAGTAAACCCTTTGGGTGTTGGTCACATGTCGATGTGAACTATGGGTGTTAATCACATGGTGATGTGAACTATTGGTATTAAATCACATGGCGATGTGAACTAGATTATTGACTCTAGTGCAAGTGGGAGATTGAAGGAAATATGCCCTAGAGGCAATAATAAAGTTATTATTTATTTCCTTATATCATGATAAATGTTTATTATTCATGCTAGAATTGTGTTAACCGGAAACATAGTACATGTGTGAATACATAGACAAACAGTATGTCACTAGTATGCCTCTATTTGACTAGCTCATTGAATCAAAGATGGTTAAGTTTCCTAGCCATAGACATGAGTTGTCATTTGATTAACGGGATCACATCATTAGGAGAATGATGTGATTGACTTGACCCATTCCGTTAGCATAGCACTTGATCGTTTAGTTTGTTGCTATTGCTTTTTTCATGACTTATACATGTTCCTATGACTATGAGATTATGCAACTCCCGTTTACCAGAGGAACACTTTGTGTGCTACCAAACGTCACAACGTAACTGGCTGATTATAAAGGTGCTCTACAGGTGTCTCCGAAGGTACTTGTTGGGTTGGCATATTTCGGGATTAGGATTTGTCACTCCGATTGTGGGAGAGGTATCTCTGGGCCCTCTCGGTAATGCACATCACTTAAGCCTTGCAAGCATTGCAACTAATGAGTTAGTTGCGGGATGATGTATTACGGAACGAGTAAAGAGACTTGCCGGTAATGAGATTGAACTAGGTATTGAGATACCGACGATCGAATCTCGGGCAAGTAACATACCGATGACAAAGGGAACAACGTATGTTGTTATGCGCTCTGACCGATAAAGATCTTCATAAAATATGTGGAAGCCAATATGAGCATCCAGGTTCCGCTATTGGTTATTGACCGGAGACATGTCTCGGTCATGTCTACATAGTTCTCGAACCCGTAGGGTCCGCACGCTTAAAGTTTCGGTGACGATTGTATTATGAGTTTATGTGATTTGATGTACCGAAGGTAGTTCGGAGTCCAGGATGGGATCGGGGACATGACGAGGAGTCTCGAAATGGTCGAGACGTAAAGATCGATATATTGGACGACTATATTCGGACATCGGAAAGGTTCCGAGTGATCCGGGTATTTTCGGGGGTACCAGGGAGTTACGGGAATACGAGGAAGAAGTAATGGGCCTCATGGGCCAAGTGGTGGAAGAGAGGAGGTAGGGCGCGCGGCCCCCCTAGCCCAAACCTAATTGGGCTAGGGGGCCGGGCCCCCTTTCGTCCTTTTCCTCCTTCTCCTTCCTTCTCCTTCTCCTCCTTCCTTTCCTCCTCCTAGTAGGAGTAGGAAAGAGGAGTCCTACTCCTACTAGGAGGAGGACTCCTCCTCCTGGCGCGCCCATAGAGGGGCGGCCGGCCTCCCCCCTTGCTCCTTTATATACAGGGGCAGGGGGCACCTCTAGACACACAAGTTGATTAGTTGATCTCTCCCAGCCATGTGCGGTGCCCTCCTCCACCATATTCCACCTCAGTCATATCGTAGCGGTGCTTAGGCGAAGCCCTGCGTCGGTAGCAACATCATCACCGTCACCACGCCGTTGTGATGACGGAACTCTCCCGTGAAGCTCTGCTGGATCGGAGTTCGCGGGACGTCATCGAGCTGAACGTGTGCAGAACTCGGAGGTGCCGTGCGTTCGGTACTTGATCGGTCGGATCATGAAGACGTACGACTACATCAATCGGTCGGATCTTCCGCTTTCGGTCTACGAGGGTACGTGGACAACACTCTCCCCTCTCGTTGCTATGCATCACCATGATCTTGCGTGTGCATAGGAAAATTTTGAAATTACTACGTTCCCCAACACTTTGGTCTAAGGGAATGCATTGTGGAGTAGTTATTAGATGATGGGTTGCTAGAGTGACAGAAGGTTAAACCCTAGTTTATGCGCTACTTCGTAAAAGACCGATTTGGATCCAAAAGTTTAATATGATGGTTAGATTTTATCTTAATACTTTTCTCGTAGTTGCGGATGCTTGCGAGGGGTGAATCATAAGTAGGAGGTTTATTCAAGTAAGAACAATACCTAAGCACCGTTCCACCCACATATCAAATTATCAAAGTAGCGAACACGAATCAAACCAACATGATGAAAGTGATATGGTGAAATTCCCATGTACCCTCAAGAACGCTTTGCTTATTATAAGAGACTATTTTGGCATGTCCTTTGCCACAAAAGGATTGGGCTACCTTGTTGCACTTTATTTACCGTTACCGGTACTTGCTCGTTACAAATTATCTTGCTATCAAACTACCTGTTACCAACAATTTCAGTGCTTGCAGAAAATACCTTACTGAAAAGCACTTGTCATTTCCTTCTGCTCCTTGTTGGGTTCGACACTCTTACTTATCGAAAGGACTACTATTGATCCCCTATACTTGTGGGTCATTACTACTCCGCAGATCGCACACACATGTTTTTCAGCCATGTTCCAGTAATGGAGCACGTCTCCTGCTGGCAAGGATTGTCAAGCCAGTCTCTAAGTAAATACTCCCCCTGTTCCTAAATATAAGTATTTTTAGAGATTCCAATATGGACTACATTTAGAGTGTAGATTCATATGTAGTCTATATTGAAATGTCTAAAAAGATATGTAGTCCATCTTGGAATCTCTAAAAAGACTTATATTTAGGAATGGAATGAGTAGTATGTTTCAGGCATGCAACTGTAATGTTCGTGCCACATGATGCATCTTATTTGATGGCCATAAAATTGGGCGGAATGGATCCAAAAACAACAATTATTTTGTTCTTAAACTCGATATGATGAAAGCCTATGACACGGTCGAGTGGCAATATCTTGAGGCAGTCATGTTGAAGCTTGGGCTTAACCATCGGTGAGGGATGGTAAGCTTAGTTTTATTTAATGGAAAGAAGCTTCATAAGTTCATACCATCCAGGGGTATTCGGCAAGGAGATCCTATCTCACCCTACCTTTTCTTGTTAGCAACGGAGGGTCTTTCAGGCCTATTGAAATCTAACCAGTCGTCTCACCTAAGTGGGATTGAGGTGGCTTCAACGGCTCTGCCGGTGAACCATCTCCTATTTGCAGATGACAACGTGCTATTTTTCAAGGCAAATGAGGAGGGGCGGAAGAGGGTAATTAAGGAAGGCAAAAGAAAACCTCATTGGGTGTTGTGGCAGGATGCCACAACACCCATCGTTTCAGAGCCCGGGATTCATATATTGAAGAACTGAACACCTTAGAAGTCGTGAAACAACACAGTCCAATGCCCAAGTTGGATACTAGTAATGTGCAGAGATGGTTGGTGCCACAAAGAGGGTTCTTAAAAATCAATGTGGATGGTGGATTCTCACGAGATAGAGCTACAACAACAACATCAACTTTTTGTAGAGATGATAATGGACAATATGTGGGAGCCTCGACCATCATTGTAGCAAACATTGTTGATCCGGCGACTGGTGAAGCTCTATCATGTAGGGAAGGACTTTCTTTAGTTGCAGATCTTAATTTATCAACCATCACTGTGGCGTCTGATTGTCAGATGATGGTTGCTGATATTTCCCATGAAACTAGGGGAGCCTCCAGTGCAATTATTCAGGAAATCAAGGAGAGATAGAGCTTTTTTAATGATTGTCATTTTATGTATAAAAGTAGAAATTTTAATTACGAAGCTCATAGATTAGCAAAACACGCTTCATCGTTTGGTATAGGTCGTCATGTTTGGTTGGGTCTCCCATATAATCCTATGACAATAGTACCTGTAAACATTCAGACTGCTGATTAATAAAGCGTGTGTTTTGCCTAATAAAAGCAACGCGCTGCTAGCTTCTCAGCCATCCACGTCATTTCTTCTACTACTCCTGAGTGAATAACCTTTTTTTGCTCAATACAAAATTTGAGAGCACGTCTATTTCCGTCCAACCTCGCGCCGCTAGGCGGCCAGCGGCCATCGGGGTCACTCCGCCACTCCGGCCCCACACGACAGAGAGACAACAGCGGCAGCAGGTTAATAATGGCGCTTCGCGCGGCGGAGCTCCGGCGACTCCTCCTCCTCCGCGGCAGGGCGGTCCTCCCGCTCCCGCTCGCGTCGCGCTGCCGGCCGGCGAGCACGGCCGCCCGTGACGACGAGGGAGCAGGGGGCAACGCCTACGACGTGCTTGGGGTGGGAAAGACGAGCTCCTCCGCGGAGATCAAGGCCTCCTTCCACCGCCTCGCGAAGGAGACCCACCCCGACGTCGCTGCCGCCGCCGGTTCCCGCCGGTTCCTTCAGATCCTCGCGGCCTACGAGGTATCTGTTCAGTTCGATTGCTCTAGTATGAATATATGATATGGTACTACTCAATATCAGACCGTGTGGGTTCTAATTTTGCCACCGGTTGTGGATATGCCCAAATCAATTGTTCATTTGGGAGTTGGAAATTACTTCAGTGCTACTAGTATTTTTGTTTTTGTTCTATTTGCATAGCATAGGTCACTTCACTACAAGAAATGTAATATTTCGCATACTGCTCATGAGACATGAGCCCTTTTTTTACCATGTCGCAGATCCTATCCGATTCGCAGCGAAGAGCTCATTATGACAGCTTCCTGCGCTCGCAGAGGCTAGTTATACAGAAGCATCCCAGGCCATCGCAATATGTATATCCATATCCATATAGTTCAGGCATTGTGATGCCCAGAGAAAGTAATGTTGTCGAGTGGCTTAAATGGTACAGGCTCACTGTCGATGACATTGTTACAAAAAAGAGGATTGCGACGGGTTCAGGTTATTTCGATAGACTTGAGAGTGAACTGTACTCTGCAGTCCATGCTGCATACTATGGCCCCGAGGTTGAGTCCACGGATCTCCTTCCTGATTGCTTTGAAGCCGAGGAGAGGTCTGTGTATGAGACACCTGAGCTATTGCACCTTGTATCTGGCCGTGACCTGCTTGGTATTGTCAGTCTAGTGGATAGCGTCCGAGAGCTGTCTGATGCTTGTCGTGAGAAGCTGACACATTCTGGTTCTGGAGCCTGCGGCTTTTGTCCAAATGTTGCAGTAAATGGGGAGAAATGTTCAATACCTAGGCATGCAGATATTCACAAGCAAGAGAATGAGGATAGTGACAGTATCCCATCAGATGCCTACAAGGACATTGAATTGCAGATATGTGGGAGAGTAGTAGCCACTGCAAATAGGAGGCTCAAGTGCAATTGCATTGACAATTCAGACATGGAAGATCACATACATGTTTTTCTTGTTCCAGATGAGGTGGTTGCACCTGATGTGACACAAGAGCATCTCCTCCTTGGAACAATCACTGGGTTGGACACCAGTGGAGAGGAAGGATCTTGCTGTGTCTATGATGGCCATGGAATAAAGACCCATGTAATTGTTAAGCACAGGACACTGATGGTATGCGTGCCTTTCCCACATTCTATTAGATCAAGTATATGTATGGTTCAGTGTGGAATTTAAGTGCACATTTTAGACGGCATTTTTTGTTGGATATTTCTGCAAATTTGTATGTTGTAGGTTAAACACATGCACTGGTATCAATTTGGAGATGAAGTTTCACCCTGCGAGTGTCGATGTAGCAGGGCTCGGTTGCCACCCAGCAGGTATGTGTTCCTTTCTATGTTGGGTTCTACTCATGCTGCATATTATGGAACCATGAGATTTGTTCCATGCATCAACTGTCTTGGTGAAAAGACTGGATAGGTGATCTTACATAGGTGTTCAGTTCACAGTTACTATTGTTGGAATGATATGCATGTTCACTACTGTAGTACACCTTAAGGCAATTCTTTCTCTCATCCCATTTGTTTAGTGGTGAAAATGTTCTTAGTGAAAGAATTGCCGCAAAACTAGCAAACTCAGAATGCTCTCTGAAAGTAAATAGGAGCATAGCAGCAGCATCCAAGTGAAACACGTCTTGTCAGTTAAGGGTCTTCTTGCGCAAAGAAGATAAAGAATCAGTAGTGCGTTAAAGAATTGTACTACTACTGCTCAACAAGTGCACTGTTTTTTTTAATTAATTTTCACAGGTAAATTGTTCAACAAAATGGATTCAGTGCATATTCACCTGTGAAGTTCTTTGTTTACAGGTTTTGGCTTTTTGAGCCACGGTGTTACATGCATGACACTGGTGGTTGGTACATCGAGACATTTGGGAGAGACAAGAAAGGGAGGACAATTCCATCGCCGAGACATTGGCATGGTGTCAATGAACATTCTGAAAAGTAAGCTTCATAAGGTCTCTTATTGCCTAGGTTGGATTGTTTGGTTGATCTTCCTTTTTTCTAGTTACATACTTACATCTGCGTAATAAGGCAACATAATAATCTCACCAATGTTGGTAATTTCCTAGTTCTGCAGTTTTATAGTCAAGCTTATTGTCCAATATTTTCTTGTCTAGCCAGGCTCTTGTATAATATGATACATGTCTTTCCAGATTTAATTTGCACAAAACCTCATAGGATGCATTCATATGAAAAATATGTTGAAACTCTTGCTTCCAGGACTTCTCTTTTGTGGAAGCTTGAGTTGCAAGGGCTGCAGATCATGACTTATGTTACTTTATGTTAAGTAGATGCTTATTAATTATTTTATGTTAAAATTTACTTGTGTCACTTTGTTGATTCTATCTATTCATTTGTTGCGTCATTATGCACTTAAAACCGAAATGGCAGGAGATTGCATCCAGCACTGTATCTGGTGGCTCTGGCATACAGATCTTTAGATCTTGAGGATGCTCAAAGAAGAAAATGGAGCTTTAGGAGTTTCCTAGAGCTGCAGTTGTCTCATATTCTTCAGTTAAGCAAAAAAATCTTTAGTGGTAAAAAAGGAGTTGATATGGGAGCACCATGAGAAACGAGCAGCAGTTTCAGGAATTCAATGTTCTTGTTTGACAATATCTTTGTGATCACTAAAACTTTCTGAGGCTGTTCACTATTCTGCATGTTTGACGTAAACTATGCTGATGTCTGATGTCCGGAATTACAAACCGATTTCCATGAAATAGATCATCTTACGATGGTAAGCTAGCTATACCCTTGACATTCTTGCATCATGTTCTTTGTTCCTTGCTTGAACTAGCGAATAATGTATTCTTTAGAAGAGCACCCGCCACTATACAACTAAGAACCCTGAATCAAAAATGATATGTTGAAAGGTGAAAGAACTATAGTCTAAATTTATGTAAGCATCTCCACCTGCCATTTTCATAGTGCGTAAGTTAATCTGATCCCTAGGGACACTTCTCTGAACCTTGGTGTGAAATTTGGTCCTTTGCCCTTTAATCTTAAACTGGGAAAATCAATTATATGTTGCTGGAAATGTTTGTATTTATGGATATGTTTCACAGAACATATAATTTCTGACATGTCACTACAAATCTTCAAAGCACATTTTATGTGTTACTCCCTCCGTCCCAAAATAAGTGTCGTGGTTTTAGTTCGGGACGGAGGGAGTATTTTACAGTGGCATAAAAATTTCTTTGAATTTGGCTGTTGCATATCTATGCATTTTAGTTGCATGTCTAACAGAGTAACAGTGGCATGCGGGAATTGACCATTTGTATGCTGATTTTGCAGTGGCATGTAGTTTTTTCATAGTATTGGTGTCAACATTGTGCACATGTTACATGCTTGTATTCTGCACATGCGTATGTATGTTCATAAGTATGTTAATCTGAACTTATGTGGAATATCCTACAGCCATGCTCTTTCATCATATTCTGGCGTGGCGCCTGGCGAAGAAAGTGAGGTGCCAGTTTAATGGCATATTAATTTTACCACTAGAGCAGTAGACAACAGGTGGTGGCACCTGCTGGCTGTGCCATATTCGGCAAGACAAGGCAAAGCTGGTTGAGCTAGCATTAACATCCTAAGGTAGTATGCCACTTCGAAAGTCATTGCATTCTCCGCTGCTATAAAAGTTTAGTTTTTAGCATTTCTGGAGGCCTAGGGTTAGGTTTATCTATTTCCCTTCCTGCAAAAAAAAAGGTTTATCTGTTTCCCAAAGTATAATGAGTACATAAAGTAGTATGTCTGATGGCAAGTGCTGTTCTCAGGAAAATCTTGCGAATTCCCTCAGGAGTGAACTGACTCACACATGCTTTGATAGATTGTTAATGTTTGAGTCAATGAATTGAGCTCCACCTGATGAAAAACCGCCTTTTCTTTTATCCTTGTCTACTCAAAGTCTTGAAGTATCTTCACCTTTTGCTTTTGGGTACTGTAAAGGATACAGAAGGATCCCAACATAGTTGATTTACAAATTTTCGGTCTAACGATTGTCTGAAGAGTACTGAGACAATTTTCCTCAGTGGTCAATCTGGTTAAATACTTCGAGTCTGAATGGTCAGTGGGGAGAGTACTCAACTTAATGGCAAGCAAATTGTAGTACCTCGGTGCTAATTTGTGTTGGAAGCTTTTGGTCTTGTTTGATTTATCCGTTCTGATCTGATATATATGCGGGCTACAGCCTACAGATGCAAGTTTGAGAAGTGTGATCAGCCTTTTTTGGGGGGAGAAAAGACACCCAATGGGCATCTTATAGTATCTGATAACTATTAAGGAAAACAATAGACATTATACAATGGAAACATAATGTAGCAGGAAACGACCAATAATGAATAAAATTATATCGAAAATCATATAATGAATAAAAGTGCATACAAAATCATAATGGTCGTCCTCTTCCTTCAATTATACTCCACAGTTGGAGACTTGGAGTTTGAAAAACGCAATGTACGGGCAGCAAGTGTGATTAGGTCCTTGGTTTGTGCTTTGTATTATAGACTCTGGCTTTAGTGCTCCAAGTTGTGGTCTCAGCCTCTTGGGGGACAAGTGTACAGACGGTTCAATATGAAATATACTGACTTGAGAGCTGTCAGGTATCATGGGCGAAGATGGAACTGCGAAGCCCTTACAAGCATTTGAATGGTTGAAATCTCCCACGGGCTTTTAACTGTCTGCAGATCTTGCAGTTTTTCTAACACAGTAAATTGTTAATATATGTTGGCCAGCTCTGATGTGGACTTATTCCATATGAAATGTATTCCGTCTGTTCAAAATGAATTGAAATTTCAGCTTTGTCCTAAGTCAAACTTATCTGTATTTGACCAAGCATATAGAAAAGGTATGCTAATATCTACGGCATCAAATATATATAATACAAAAGTATATTTTATAATGAATTTGATGAAACTAATTTGATATTGCGAATGTTGATGTACTTTTCTGTAAATTTAGTCCAACTTGCAGAAGAATGACTTGAAGACAAAGATAGAACTTCCATTAATTTAGAATAGCTAGTACTCACTCCGTCCCAAAATAAGTATCTTAACTTTGTACCAAGGTTGTATATTAAAGTTAAAACATTTATTTTAGGACAGAAGGAGTACAATTTAGGAGAAGGAATCTGTAAACAGATTATGAGCGGGTTTTTGGCTTTCTACCGTAGAAACTTTTGGCTACCGGATATCAAAATCCAAGTTTGACTTTGTCAATTTTAAAACTTCACAACTTAACTCTTTTGCACTCCACATTGTCGATCCGCATGAATAGATCACACGAATAGGCTATAATGTGGAGTGTGGACTATAATGTGTATTACAAATACCGATCCCATGACAAACCAAATGAAAGCTTATTTAGATACTACTTAAGATTTCATGCATTTACGAAAGTTCCATCGAAACATTTATTGTGCTCTAGAAGACAATGGTAAGAGACGATGCACTGAGAGAGTGACCTCTAAAAGACAATTGTTATGTTTCAAATATAGACTTGCATTTTTGTAAGATTGTATGTTCGTGTTTTGTATATTTTCTAAAAAAATTCTACGATTTTGTAAAACACTAAAGATGTTGATTCCTCCCGGTGCATCAAATACTTTCCCGACGCTGATTTCTTTTTTGAAAAGGAGGATTACCCCGGTCTCTGCATTGAGCGATGCACACAACCATATTTATTGCGTTATTCGACAAGGCCTTACAAAATAAATACATAGATCAACTCAAAGACACCTTCCTGGCGAACTACCTACAAGATTGATGATGTGCTCTGACCTCGTGCCACACACAACTAAAAATCTGGTGACCTTGCCAAACCTGCTCGCTGGCTAGCCGGGAGCACTAATCGGTCTAGCAGACACTCGACGTGCACCGCATGCGCATGCTGTAGAATTTGTCGGTGCCTTCTTTTCTTCCGCAACCCCATCTTCAGGAGCAATCAATGCACTAAACTTGCCAGACCTTTCTCCCATCGACGCCAACACGACGCTAGACAGTGTCAGCCTCCTACGTGTGCGCCCGTGACGGTGTCCAGCGCCGACCCAGCTGCACCTAGCTGCCAAGAGTCGTCGTTATCAATACTGTAAATGCACGTCGTCCCACCTTGGTCACCGCATGAGAAGCATACAGAGACATGCGCCCAACCACCAAGCCAAACACTTGCCCCTCCAGTCGATGTACAACCCCAAAGATGATACCCCCATGGGGGTGACGACGCAGGAACCTCGCCATCATTTGATCCGGAAAAACGCGAATCTTGGGTTTCCCCTAGGGAATACAGGGAATGTGAATCATCCCACAACGCCTCCAACAAGGTAATGATGCCCGCTGGCACTGCCGTTGACGGTTCTGTCCGAGGCCGAACCAAGCCTTCACTAGCAAATTCGCGCCCATCCCTGTCTGGACCACCAAATCGACCTCCTCCGTCATCCAACACGCCCATGGGTGACATATACTGTAGGGAAACCGCACGACCGGAGCGCATCACCGCCTGGAACCGCCGCCCCGCATGGGTGAGCCATCGACGATGGAGGGGCCCTCACCGCTGCGTCGCCGACGCCGAATGACGCACACGTCTAGAACACCCACACGAATCTCCACCGCAACCGCATTCCAGAGCCGCTGCAGAGGAAGGCCCCGTCGCCGCCATCATCCCCCGCCTGGGTTTTGCCTAGCGGAGCTCTGGCAGTGGCGAGGAGAGGGGCGACGACGGCTCAAAGCTCTAGATTGAGAGGGAGAGGGAGAGGAGAGGGCGGCGGTGGCTCCTCTGGCTTTGGATCGGTAGCTCCTTTCCCGTTGCTGATATACCCCAAGGTGGTTGTGTGTGTTTGTATTTTTTTAAAGATACCCAAAGGGCATCTTATATTTGATATTTATCATGAAAAAAATAGTCAGTATAATGAAAAGAACAACTGCACACAGACCGACCAGTACAAATAACAAAATAAAATTGTATTGCAAAATATACCAGCCTTCTTCTTCATCTGATTGTACGTCATCCACTAGAGATTAAAATCACACCAAAACCAATAAAAAAAGAGATACCTGCAAATGCCCTCATCATACCAAGCTTTAAAGATCGCAATAACCGCTCACCCTTCAGATGAGATCTAAAAGTCACTGAAGAAACATATGTTGGAGCATCACCCCACGCAAAACAGGTTTGCAATCCATCACCACTGGTCCAAAGGGTTGGAGAAACTGGATCATGCGCAGAACAACACCGAAGAAGATGTGAAAGTCGTCACACCACTGGTCCAAAGGGTTGGAGAAACCGGATCATGCGCAGAACAACACCGAAGAAGATGTGAAAGTCGTCACACCACTGGCCAACCAATTGCTCTCCTTGAAGGACACGCCAACTGCTAAGATCTGAAGAGAGCCAACAAATCTAGGAACACAACTCTCACATGCCTGATGACCCACAAGTATAGGGGATCAATCTAGTCATTTCGATAAGTAAGAGTGTCGAACCCAACAAGGAGCAGAAGGAATGAGACAGTTTTCAGCAAGATATTCTTTGCAAGAATTGAAACTGACGGTAACAGATAGTTTGGTAGCAAGGTAATTC